CGGTACAGGTGAATTGGGTAGGCTAAATTGTCCGCAGTGTACGAGTGTGAATGAATGTGTGTAGATGTTTCAGAGATGAGTTGCGGTTGAAAGGGCATCTGCTGCGTAAAAACGTGCTGGAAAAGTTGGCGGTTCATTCCACTGTGGTTACCCCTGATTAATAAAGAGACTAAGCCGAAAAGAAAGTGAATGAATGAATGAACTTATGAACTTTTTTTCTTTTGATGACTTTGTCTGCATAGAGGTGCATCATTTTTCCTCTCATGCAGCCCAATCTACTTCTCAATCATAGTTCCTCTGTGGCGTTGTGGCTTTTTCAAAGATGCCTTTTTTTTCCATTCCCCTCTCTGGAGAAAAAAACACGCTCAAAGTCATCCGTAAGAGGAAGTGTAATAAGCTGAATTTACTTCCTCAAATGAGCGATAATCTTGGCAAATTCATAGCAGTCATCTTGTAAATTTCTATCAGATTTCCAACCATTCTTTATTATTGGTCCATCATTTGTAAAATTGCAGAGAAGGAAGAGAATATTAGGATCTTGAAACAATATTACAGTTGGTTGGACAAAACAATGTGAACACTTGTGGTTTAGCATAATTTGTGCAGCTTGCAGTGAACATAAAAATATTGTCATTAATAATATTTGTGTTTGTATTCTCCATGTTGTCTATCAGTATAGTATAAGTGGCTTTCAGCTTACCAGCAGCTAGCTCTCTGCATCTCTCACATGGTCGCCCACTGATGGGAGATCACATGGGAAAGCTAGGTTGCTGACGGAAGTGGTGAAGAACAGACCCCTGCCCTTTTTGCACTGTCTTGTTTGTATACAGCGACGCTGCACTGCTTTGGCAATACGAATGTAGTTATTTGTCATGCCAATAAAATGTGAAATGTGAGAGTCGGTGAGTGAGTGAGAAACGTGAGTGAGTGAGTGAGTGAGTGAGTGAGTGAGTGAGTGAGAGAGAGGGAGAGAGAGAGAGAGGGAGGGGGAGACGGATAGGGAGTATGTGCGGGGTACAGTCGGTAGGCAGTTTGTTTGGCGGCTGGCTCGCGCCGGATGGATCTGCATTTTGTTTAACGGACTAAGTCACTTTAACACTTACGTTTACTAACGAGTTAGACAACGTTATGCGATAATATACATATTTTTTCAGTCAGATAAAGATACAAACCGATCGTAGGAAAATGCGCTTCTTCTTTTATTTCTTCACGTTCCTGACTTTCATCATCATCACCGGTCGGTAAAGTTTAAAAGTTGTCTGATACGTATTGCCGTTTTTTCTTTTAAAAATACACGCGTAGATATGTCACTCGATTGTTTATGGAATAAATGTTATTTTTATCAGGTGCTGTGAGTGAGATGGTGGAGGTGAAGCGCGGAGACAACATCAAGCTAAACCTCTATACTCCTCTGGAGAATATTATTCGGGTGACTGTACAGAAAGACGGAGCTGATGTCCTCCGTTACTGTTCATCTTAAAAGAAAAGAGATGGATGCAAAAAATTGAACTCAACAAGATTTTCACTCGAGTCTGGAAAGATTGGCGTCTCTTTAACTTGTCCAGATGCCGACATTAGTGATGAAGGGGCTTATGACATGGAGATCATAGATACACAAGGCATAAGGAGAAATCGGATGTTTAACGTTACAATTATAGGTTAGTATTTTATCATTTATTCCAGTACACTTCCGTAAAATACGTTTGATCCCCATTTGGTGTGTTTAAAGTGTCTTAAGACCTCTGTTGAGGAAAGTAAACTGACAAACCTTTCTAGACCGTGTCCACTTCTAGTAAGAGTTTGTTTTATGTTGGTGTTATTTCATATATATACCACATACATACCACTACCACATACATCACGAACATTCCACTTAACGCAGTGGCAGCCCGCAGATCGCATAAGTGGGCGGGACTGTCTTTCCTTGGTTCACGGAAACATATTGACGTTGATGTAATGTATTCCGGTTTTCATCTCTGCATGGTAAGTACACGTCTTCTGTCATGTAGCCTAAATGGTTAAATTATAGTGCAGTACACCTCACGGGCTACGTATTATGTGTAATTCATTTAATTAAAGGCCTTTAAGGAGATATAAAGTTTTAAAGCCTTTAAAAAATGTTATCTGTGTTAGGGTTGGCGTTTTCCAGGTTGATCGTACAGCTGGTGGTCTTATTCACTTAAAAGAATAATGTAAACTTTAAAGAGTTTCGAGCAACACAGTCCACCACATGAAGTTTATTGATATAAAAGATAACAAAATATATTTTTCTTTGTGGCATGTTCTCTAATTTACATATTCTGGTAATGTTAATGCTAAATATGTACAATATAAAACTTGATTCTTAATCTACTGATCTATACTACATTCTGTTTGCAGATCATTGGCATTGATATATATTCATCACTATGATTCTTTTGGAGCATATTTTCTGTTTTATTTTATTTTACCTCAGTTCTTTCTCTCTTTTGTTTTAATAGATTTGTGCATTTAATAATTTTTAATATATTTATTTACACTTCATGTTCTCTTTTTTTTTTTTTTTGTTTACTTTATAACCCATGCATGAAACTTATGCAAAGGGGAATGTGAGGAGGGGGCATGCCTAGTATAAACATATTTAATTTAACTTTAATATACTGTATGTTAAGCGACATGTTGATGATTGTTGGTTATTTTGTACAGATGCCGCCTAAGATCCTGCAGTGTATCCTACTGAGAGTTGTCACACAGGATGGTGATGGGACATTTCTGCAACTCTCACTGACATCCAGGACCTTCTGAGCAATTGTCATTCATTCATTCATTCATTTTCTTGTCGGTTTTGTCCCTTTATTAATCCAGAGTCACAACAGCGGAATGGACTTTTTATGCAGCAGATGCCCTTCCAGCCGCAACCCATCTCTGGGGAACATCCACACACACACACACTCATACACTACAGACAATTTAGCCTACCCAATTCACCTTTACAGCATGTCTTTGGACTGTGGGGGAAACCGGAGCACCCGGAGGAAACCCAGGCGAAGGGAGGGAGAACATGCAAACTCCACACAGAAACGCCAACTGAGCCGAGGTTCGAATCAGCGACCCAGCAACTTTCTTGCTGTGAGGTGGCAGCACTACCTACTGCGCCACTGCCTCGCCGAGCCATTGTCAGTAATCCAAAATTCAAGAAGCAGGCTGTGTGTGTGTGTGTGTGTACACATGATAAAGAGTACAGAATATGCCAAGCACTTTTTACTGCAGATTGTTACTAATGCTGTAGTGGAATTTCCCTGTAAAAAATATATAATTGTTTTTATGTTTATTAAAGATATTAATCACGAACTGCTGTATCTTAAATTATTATTATTTTTTTCTATAAATTGTCAGTCTTCCTTTTGTACGTGTGCATGTGCATACACAGATGTTCTGTAGGTGAGACATCTGACATCTAAAAAACACAGATCTGCCAGATTTTTACTCGAACCGAGAAAGAGGGACTTTCAACTGACTGTATTGCTTTGTGTTGGTGTTTTACTGAAGATGAAGTTGGTATTTATTTCTCAGGATTTGTCAAATAAAAAAAATCAGAAGTTTACACGAGTGCTGCACTTATTAATGTCAAATTTATTTTCATTAATTTGTGTCCTGATAGATAAGTAATAAATAAAACTGGCCGTTTGTGCCACACTATTAATATAATATTAAGTGTATTTAATATTCTAATTAAATGAAATAGAAAAACAATGTTGTATGTGACTCTTAATAACCAAACAAAATCATTATAAAAATATTTTTAAAGATCTACAGTGCAGAAATGGACACAGAAGGGTTGTTAGAAAGTGGTATTAAAGTATTTACCCTGCATTTACAAATAATACAAAAATAAAACCAAGAAGACTGCATTTTAAATCAGTAATATTAGATTATGAAATTATTTGTAACTTATTAATTAAATTGTAGAACAGATATCAAAACCACCCAGTAGGTGGCAGCAGAGCACTGTCTTCATTCAAATGGAGAAACTGAACAAAACTTTAATGGATTAGTAAATAATAAATAATGAAATTGATTGCATTCATAGATGACACACCATGTAATATGAAAAAAATTAATATAAAATTTTACTCATGCTGGAACATTTACATATAACAGATCAGATACATGTATATTCATAGCAGCATCAAAGTAAAAATAAATCCATTATATGATGAAATAATCTGATTTAATAAGTAAAAAGGTTACAAATGTATACTTCCCTTAATAAATAATAGCTTATTCCTGCTCTTAATAAAACTCAAAGCAGTGCAGTATTGAAAGAAAAACAATTGTACACATGCCTAATATTTTTAATAGACTTAAATCAAAGTATAATTTTAATATTTTCAATTGTAAATTTTCCAGAGAACTCTTCCATTCAAAGGGAAAAAATTAAACTGAACTAAAAACACTGCATTTTTATTTATTTATTTATTTTTTCTCTCTCCATCTTTATTTGTCGTAAATATGCAATATGGATTTGCATTTTGAAGCAAAATAATAAACCATTAAAATATCAGAACTAAAATCACTGCGTTTCTGAAGTGACACCATTGTGAAAAGAGTCTTTTGAGTCTTTTGTAATATTTTTTAGCAGGAAAAATACCATTATGAAATTCACACAACTGTTAACATAATTAACATATAAAACGCTCAGCAAGAATGTCCACTTTTGTGCATTTCTGTGTTTATTAACAATAAAAACAATATTTAAGAAATTGTACATGCATTTCCTGTTTACTGACACCACGTAGTGGGCATTCACGCTATTACGTTTCCACTAACCAATGAAATTACAGATGGGCGTGGCAGAGGGGCTTCTCCAGGATTACCCTTCTCGCTTCCTGAGGGAGAGCGGGAGGGAGGTTGCCGCTTCGTGCAAGACCATGAACTCATGACGTTGTGTTCGTGGAATCAGCCTTAAAGTTGCCATGTGCTGTGAGAACAATGGCACTGTCCTTCCTCCATTTTACTTTCTGCATTCAGATACATCTAACAACACGTTGCAGATCAGCCACATCATTGCTTGAACTGAGAAGGCTGACCGAATGAAAAAATGTTTCGAAATTTGTTCTTTGTAATAGGTAAGAAATAACTTTTTTTGTGCGTTTCACTGTGTATCAGATATTTGTTATCCAACAAGGTTTGTGATTGAAAGGCATGCCACACCATATGTATAAATTCAATGTCACCTTATTACAGGTTTATCGTTACATTAATGTGAATTGTGGAATAGTAACTGTTATACTATTCTGGAAGGACTTTTAAACTTTTAATCAAGCGCTTTCGGCGTTTAAGGTCTGTTTTCTTTTAAAATCAGCGATTTCCACTTTTCATTACAGTTTACACTTCAACATCTGATTAAAGCTTGTGTCTATTTAACTGATTATGTTTTAATTACATTACAACATCGATGCTTTAAGAGGAACCGTATAAAATTGAAAAAAGACACATTAACCGTTCACCGGATTTCTTTCAGTATGGAAAGAAAAATACAACTAAACATCTAAATAAACAACTAAACACAACTAAATAGGATATTTTTTTTTATCCGATAAGATAAAATGTTCATAAAAAACAATGGAAACACTTTTCTTTACTAAAGGTTGTTACTTCCACGCTGAGTGAACGCTGGCATGACCTGCTGCCGACCGGTAATTAAAAAAAAAACATTTTAAATATTTTATTTGTACAACGATCAACACTTATAGTTGAACTGACTTTACTAAACCCTAAACATGAACGATTCTGCTGTCTCCGCATACTTCTGCTTGAGTTTTGTCGATTTTACCTGCTTTGTCGTTGTTTTACCTACGCGACTAAACCGCAGTCAAGTGAGCCGCCACATGAGAACAACCGGTCAAGCTAGCCACCTCCAGTATTTTAATGCACTTCTGTTTGAGGAATTACGGTACAGAAGCTAGAGCAGTCAAAAACCTCACAAAGACATATATTTCAGCGGTTATTGGCCAAATGTGTCTAGTAAAAAGAAAAAATGCATTAATTAAATCATAAATGTATCTTTTAAAATAAATATGAAAATATAGAACATTGAAATACATTTATTGCAGAGTTTTTTGAAGTTTTGCAAAAGTCTGCCAGAATAATTTAACACTGATTGAATTCATGCTTTTTTCACTGATATTAATAATTTCTTTAGACTTGACATGACGTTTATGCCAATTTACAAGGCAAAAACAAAATGAAGTCTGCAAAAACACCTGTTTTTTTACTGCTATTGCTGAGAATTCTGCCATAGTTGACATGAAATATTCAATTAATTCTATTTCAGGATGACCTTGAATCAATTTCCATGCCAAAGGTGATTGGCATTTACAGCTGATTATGGCAGAAAAATAAAGGCAAAGTCTGCAAGAATACATCACTGATCATTTTCTGCTTTTTATACATGCACTAATGAAATTTCTTCAGAGTTGACAAGACATTTCAATAAATTCTAATTCAGGATGACCTTGATTCTTTCCATGGGAAATTTTATTGGCATTTACAGCTGAATATGGCAGAAAAATAAAGTGTGGAGAAGTACATTACATCACTGATTTTTTTTCTTGCTTTTGAGTTGACATGAAATATTCAATGAACTCTGAATCAGGATGGCCTTGACTCTTTACACACCAACTTTCATATAGAATTACTGCTGAATTTGGCAGAAAAATGGAGACAAAGCAAAAAAATTACATCACATCATCTTCTGCTTTATTTACCTGCACTATTGAAATTCTGTTAGAGTTGACAAAAAATGTCTAATCAATTCTAATTCAGTATGCCCCTGACTCTCCCCATGCCAACATTCTTAATGATTTACAGCTGAATTTGGCAGAAAAATAAAGATAAAGTATGGAGAAGTACATTACATCACTGATCATTTCTTGCATTTTCTACTGCTATAATTAAAAATTTTTCAAAGTTGACATAAAATATTCAATAAATTCTCATTTAGGAGGACACTGACTCTTTACATACCAACTTTCATATAGAAATACTGCTGAATTTGGCAGAAAAATAAGGACAAAGTCTGTAAAAATATTACATCACTGATCATTTCCTGCTTTTTCTAGTGGTGTAATTAAAATTCCTTCAGAGTTGACATGAAATAATTAATAAATTCTCATTTAGGAGGACACTGACTCTTTACATACCAACTTTCACATAGAAATACTGCTGAATTTGGCAGAAAAATGGAGTCAAAAAGTCTACCAAAAAAATTACATCACATCCTTTCTTTCTTTTTTTACTGCTATAATTAAAAAATCTTCAGAGTTGACATGAAATAATTAATAAATTCTAAATGAGGATGACATTGACTCTTTCCATGGCATTTTTTTTATTTAGATTTAAATTTATAGCATTTACAGCTGATTTTTTTTAGAAAAATAAAGTGTGCAAGAGAACATTGTGCAGAAGGAAAAAAGATTTATCCAAAACCAATGTTAACCAACTTAAAACGCAGGTTCAGTCATTAGGCCAAAATCATTTACTACGATTTACAAGTTGAAAAAGTTTTCTGAAGCTTGTGAAAATTTGTCTTCAGAATGTTTTTAATTTAAACAGTAGGCTATAGCCTACGTTGCTTTTTTTAGGCCTATATGCACAATTTCCAAAGTGTTTTGAGTATAATGTTAAAAGTAATTTTTAAAAAATAAAAGTAATCACTTTTGTTAAATTTAATTTCTGAAACCAAATGTAATTTTTTAGACAATAAATAAATCATTTGTATCTAGGCTATATAAAAGTAAATGTTATTGTAAGTGGTTTTTATTTTGTTAACAATATACAAAAATATGGAAAATTCTTAATAATATTATAAAAAGAAAGTAAACATCATTCATTCATTCAATTTACGTAGTCCCTGACTAATCGGGTCGCCACAGAAAGGACATATCTTTCAATGTAAATTAAGTAGGCTAAGAAAAAGATGAACAATTGTAAGCAAATAAGCTATTAGTTTGTCCTCAAATGTCCTCATGCAACTCATATTGCAAATTATTGTAGACTAGGGCGTAAGGTGGCGCAGTGGGTTGCATGATTACTTCACAGCAAGAAGGTTGCTGGTTCAAACCTCGGCTGGGCCAATTGGCATTTCTGTGTGGAGTTTGCGTGTTCTCCCCTTGTCCTTGTGGGTTTCTTCAGGATGCTGCAGTTTCTCCCACAAGTCCAAAGACGTGCTATAGGGGAATTGAGTAAGCTAAATTGGCCATAGTGTATATGTGATTGGATGTGTATGGGTGTTTCCCAGTGATGGGTTGCAGCTGGAAGTTTATCCACTGTGTAAAAACGTGCTGGATAAGTTGGCGGTACATTCCACTGTGGCGACCCCGTATTAATAAAGTGACTAAGCTAAAAAGAAAATGAATGAATAAAGAATATGAAATTAGGTGTGTTGTAATGTATTTTAAGATACTTTATATAAAATGTTTACCATAAAACCGTCTGAAACTTAAAATAGACAATCTTATTTTTAAGAGTATTTATCAAAAACATCATGTTAATGCCAAAGCATACAAAGCCATAAGAAAAAATTCTGTTATAATCAGTGATGCATGTTGGCAGTCAAGGTCATTTTGAAGAATAAATTGTTGAACAGTTCTTGCCAACTGAGAGAATTTCAATAAATAGCAGTAGACAAGCAGGAAACGGTCAGTAATGCATTATTGCAGATTTTTATGTTTAATTTTCGGCCAAATTCAGTTGTATAGCTAGAGTTAATATGTAAAGAGTCAGTTTCATACTAAATGAAAATTTATTTATTATTTTCTGTCGACTGTAATAGCAGTAGAAAAGCAAGAAATGATCAGTGATATGCCAAATTCAGCAGTATTTCTTTATTGAATTTTTATTCTTTATTCTTTATTGAATTTATTGAATATTTCATGTCAACTTTGAAAATTTTTTAATTATATGACTTGAAAAAGCAAGAAATGATCAGTGATGTAATGTACTACTCTATACTTTGTCCTTATTTTTCTGCCAAATTCAGCAGTATTTCTACGTGAAAGTTGGTATGTAAAGAGTCAGTGTCCTCCTAAATGAGAATTTATTGATTATTTCATGTCAACTCTGAAGGAATTTTAGTTATATCAGTAGAAAAAGCAGGAAATGATCAATGATGCAATATTTTACAGACTTTGTCCTTATTTTTCTGCCAAATTCAGCAGTATTTCTTTGTGAAAGTTGGTATGTAAAGAGTCAGTGTCCTCCTAAATGAGAATTTATTGATTATTTCATGTCAACTCTGAAGGAATTTTAGTTATATCAGTAGAAAAAGCAGGAAATGATCAATGATGCAACATTTTACAGACTTTGTCCTTATTTTTCTACCAAATTCAGCAGTATTTCTATATGAAAGTTGGTAAGTAAAGAGTCAGTGTCCTCCTAAATGAGAATTTATTGAATATTTCATGTCAACTCTGAAGGAATTTTAGTTATATCAGTAGAAAAAGCAGGAAATGATCAATGATGCAATATTTTACAGACTTTGTCCTTATTTTTCTGCCAAATTCAGCAGTATTTCTTTGTGAAAGTTGGTATGTAAAGAGTCAGTGTCCTCCTAAATGAGAATTTATTGAATATTTCATGTCAACTCTGAAGGAATTTTAGTTATAGCAGTAGAAAATGCAAGAAATGATCAGTGATGTAATTTTTTTGGCAGACTTTGTCTCCATTTTTCTGCCAAATTCAGCAGTATTTCTATGTGAAAGTTGGTATGTAAAGAGTCAGTGTCCTCCTAAATGAGAATTTATTGAATATTTCATGTCAACTCTGAAGAATTTTTAATTATACGACTTGAAAAAGCAAGAAATGATCAGTGATGTAATGTACTACTCTATACTTTGTCCTTATTTTTCTGCCAAATTCAGCAGTAATTCTATATGAAAGTTGGTGTGTAAAGAGTCAAGGCCATCCTGATTCAGAGTTCATTGAATATTTCATGTCAACTCAAAAGCAAGAAAAAAAATCAGTGATGTAATGTACTTCTCCACACTTTATTTTTCTGCCATATTCAGCTGTAAATGCCAATAAAATTTCCCATGGAAAGAATCAAGGTCATCCTGAATTAGAATTT